TGCGTTTTTGATATGAAAATTTGGGAGTGTTTCATGATGGATGCTGATGAGAGGGATGATGTATGGATGTCTGGTATAGATCAGAGGATTCTGGCTGAGGAGCTTCGACAATTGCGGGTAAGTACGAAAGCAATTACTGTCAGATAAAATCAATGTTTTTTATAGGATAGAAACGATGTTTTGTTTCTTTCAGCGTGACATTCTGAGTAGTGACGATGACGACGAAGAAGACGATGATGGCAGCGAAGCGAGAGTGAGGATGCCTCCGTGGGTGGTGGTAAATCCACAGTTTGAGGTGCCTTGGGACGCGAAAACGCGGGAGGATGCGAACCCGGGGGAGGGTCCACGGGAGAGCCCTCGCGAGACGTCGGGGGGCAGCGGCGCGAGGAGCTTGCAAGAGAGCTCGCGGGAGGAGGTGAGCTCGCGAGAGAGAGCAGTTGCCTACGACAACTAGGGTAAGTTTTTTTAAATAGCTATCCTTCTTTCTTCTTTCTACAATTTTTTAAATATACGCCTCCTTTTGTCTGTTGCAGATGGCAACGGGCTGGCGCGGTGGAGTCGGCTTAACACTACATATTCTTTTTCTATAATATAAATTTTTAAATAAAAACTTTAATTTTAATCATAAAAATATTCTTATTTAGTTCTTCTCATCTTCCTTATTCCTCTTCGCGAGCGATAACGGGTGGGGCCCGTGCGCAACGGCGGCGAACGCGGTGAGCGCGAACGCGGCGGCGGCGGCGGCGGCGGCGGCGAACGCGAGCGCGGCGGCGAACGCGAGCGCGGTTCCCCTTTCCCCGCGGATCCCGCATCTACGACGCGGTTCCCTCTTCCCCGCGGACCCCGCATCTACGACGCGGTTCCCCCGCCCCCGCGCATCCCGCACCTACGACGCGGTTCCCCCGTCCCCGCGCATCCCGCACCCACAACGCGGTTCCCCTCTCCCCGCGCATCCCGGACCTACAACGCGGTTCCTCCGTCCCCGCGGACCCCGCATCGGATCGTGAACGTTCTGAGCGGTTCCCTCCCGCGGCTTCCCCTCCCGCGGCTTCCCCGCGGACCCCCTCCCGCGGACCCCCGCGGACCCCCTGCCCCTCACCCCCCCTCGGAGCTCCATAGTTAGAACCCGCCTATTATATCTACTAAGGTTAATTAATTTTGTCAAATTGAATCTGAAAAATATTTCGGTGTAAATTCATATATATATTATAGTCATTATAGCGAAAGTATTCGGTGATCCTATAAGCTTATGAAAAATAGGATTATTCGCCGGACGTTCGAACGACGTAGAGCCTCCTATTTGTCCCATTTTTTCGACGGCCGTGACACAGCGGCGATTTCGATAATAAGATGATAGTAATCTGATAATATTACATTGAGTTAAAGTCAGAAATCAATTAAAAACATATATATAAATATTAAAACATGATAACAGGGTTTATGTGTGATATTCTAAGTTTTTTTAAATTGAAATTATGAATATATTAAGAATTCAA